CTCCCCTTCCTTCTTTCTTTCCTCCCCCCTCCCTTCTTTTTAAAGACTACTGGTTTAAATAACTTTTGTTACTGTTTTGATATACAGAACACTATTTACTCAATGTGAGCACCTATGGTCTCTCCCTTGTTTTTTGAGTGGGCAAAGGGAAATCTCTAGTAAGCCACTGTACCTCACCAGGAGAGGCAGTGGCTGGGTTGGGCAGCCAGAGCAGCCAGGATGCGGAGCTCTGCAAGGACAGAGGCCCCGGGATTGGTACCTGTGTTGCTAGCATAGTCCAGGAAGAAGGGCTGGCTGCTGGGGGATTCCCAGGCTATAAGCTGGGGACGGCTGCAAAGGCGAGAGACACCAGCAGTGTGGTTTTTCTTTCCACCATAGTCTGCATACTGTCTGAAAACAGGTTCGCGTGGTCCACCAATGCTGATGGCGTTAGCATGTGCTGTGTCTGACTCAAGCCCACAGTGCTGGTGAACTGGAAAGCAGAACCACTGGAGGCCACTGGAAAACTAGTGCCTTCTGGGGCTGGCTGAAAGATCCCGGTAGTGTGAGTGGATGCCCAGGTGGTCCAGTCTTCCTGTCCTCCCATTCTTCTCCTTACAAACATACATTTGATCACTTGTGGCAGATGTGGGTTGTCTCTCACGGCCCGAACAACCAGATTTGGTGCTCATTCCCCCCAAATCTGACACACAACCCTGTGTGTAGATGGACACTTGTTACTCGCAGGGTCCTCAGCTGCAATGTCTTTACAGTCTCTATACTCTACTCCAAGGTTCCATGCTCAAGGGGACTTTGCATTTTCTGGTGCCAATTTCCTGTCTTAGCTTTGGTTCTGGTTTAAATTGTGGACATTGCTGACAAGCTATGCTGATTTCCTTCCAACAAGTAAAACAGGCGAGGAGAACACTCTGGCCTCTGGGTTCTAAAATTCCAGGCTGCCTAGTGTCTGTGTTTGACAGCTGAGCCAGACCACCTCAGTACTGACAAGGAAGTCAGTAACATCTTTGCCTCCATCTTCGCTAGCATTACAAGCAAGTTCACTCAGGCATGCTTCCGAGTATCTCTAGGAAATGTTCTGACACAAGGAAGGTGTCCTGACAAGGGCTGGGCGCAGCTCCCTGAGAGGATCTGCCTAGTATGTGTGAGGCCCTGGGTTGCACCCTGAGCACCACCAAAAGTGTCAAATCAGAGTTAGGACACTGAACTCAGGATCGTTTTTACCATAAGCCAAATGAACTGCCAATGGTCTTAGGCCAACCCACAAAACCAGGTCAAACTTCTGGGTAGCTCATTGTGCTAAAAGCACTGCCCCTACAGAGGACAAAAGGGAAACCCCATAGGCCTAGACAGTTGTTGTAACACACACCAGTGCAGAGGAATAGGCAGAAAAACAAGGATGGGGCTCTGGCTGGTAGACTGAGAACAAACCCTGCATCTCAATCCACTTCAAGGGTTCAACTGGAGCAAAGGTATGGACCACGTTCAAACAGACCCAAAGCTCAGCAGTGTGCACACTTCACAGCAGACACTGCGGTGTGACATGGTTCTTAAACTGCATGACTGCAGATCCTTACTAATGTGTGTCACAACACAGACAATCCTCGTGTACTTTAGAGATCGTCTCCCCTCAAAATCCATTTTCAAATTTCACCAGAATCTAAATGCTTAATAAACTCATGTTTTGAAACTTCTTTTGATCAAGTTTTTGGGTTTGTTTGGTGTTTTAAGATAGGCTCTCATGTAGCCTAGGCTGGCCTCAAACATAGTACACAGCTGAGGGTAACTGAAGCCTGGTCCTGGGGCCTCTGCCTAGGTGCTGGGATTAGGCTTACCGTGCCACAGCCAGCTTCAATAATTCCAGCACTGCTCGATGGTGATGCTCAGACCACAGTTCTTAGCAAAGCACCAGTGCATTTTTTGTCAAGAAATTTATTAACCTTTACAAACACTATATCACTCAATCATTCATTAAAAAAATGTTTTACAATTAAGTCTGTAATAAAACCACATAACATTCACTAATGCATTCCAGCCCAGTTACACCCATGGAGTATAATAAACCACTTTAAAACAGCAGTTTTCATTCCCGCCAGGTAAGGGTGTTAAACTGAAAAATCTTATAACAGGTTGTCATCCAAGAAATCCACGTTACGTCACTGTATGTGGCAGAATGTTGTATCACCTAGAGCGGACACGGTCCATCTTTGCAGTCTCTTTCACACAAGTTTCACAACAGGAAAGTATTTGTGAACAGAGAAATCAAATTCGGGAGGAACCTATGAAGAAAGCCAGAAAGCCCATGAATACATCTGTGAGTGCTCTGGTAACGTACAGTGGCCACGTGGCCCTTTGTCACGTGTCTCAGAAACAGGGCTGTTCAAGAGAGACTGGCCTAACGGGAAAAGTCAAACAGGAAAAGAAATGAGGAAGCTTTTCTCCTTCATGAAGGTCATCAGAAAACATCCCGGCCATCTGTTTCTTATCTTCAGAGAAAGTTAAAGGAAGATGGACGTCACTTCGAAACAAGGCACTTAGCCCCATCAGGATGACAACACAGCTCAAATTTAGGGAAACACGTGAAGAAGCAAAGCCACACACACCAGGCAACTGTCACAAGGTGGCATCAGAAGCTGACCCGTGACAAGGTAGATCTTCCATATTAACACCACATCTTATCAGTGTTTAAAAACAGTTTGGGGCTGGAGAAATGGCTCAGTTGGTACAGTGTTTGCTCTGCAGGTACGAGAGCCTGAGGTTTGAGTTCCAGCACCTTTGTTAAAAAGCTGGGTAGGAGAGCACACACCTAGAATTCTAGTGCTGGGGAGGTGGAGGCAGCTGCACCTTGGGGCTGCGAAGTGAACGGCCACTGCTTATATGCATGCATACCTGTGTATACAGCTAACTACTGGACCATCTACTTTCCTAAAGCAGGTGACATTAAGATACCTTGTACTTCTCCCCAAAAATACCTGTTTTATACATTTTCTTTAAAATTTTATTCCAGTCAGGCGGTGGTGGAACACCCCTTTAAATCTCAATGCTCGGGAGGCAGAGGCAGGAGGATCTCTGTGAGTTCGAGGCCAGCCTGGTCTACAGAGTGAGATCCAGGACAGGCTCCAAAACTACACAGAGAAACCCTGTCTCAAAACAAAACAAAACCAAAAAAAATCTTGTATGAGGATGAGAGCATGTTGCCATAGTGTGTGTGTGTGTGTGTGTGTGTGTGTGTGTGTGTGTGTGTGTGTGTGTGTGTGTGTGTGTGGTGGTTTGGGTCTTTCCTTCCCCAGTGTAGGTTCCAGTTAGTAAACTCAGGTCAGCCTGGACCAATTTGACAGCTCCTATTTCTGAGCTCTTGACACTCT